GGGATAACCCGAGTCATGCCGCGACGTTAAATCAGGTGTTTCTTGGGAGGCAACNCCATTCTCATATTCTAATCTAAACTACCCCCTCTCTAAACATAAGAAAACAAACGCACAATCCCTTATCCCTTACCCCAATTTCAAAATCAAACCCTACCCTCTTCTCCTCATCTCTCCTCTTTCATAACTTCCCAACCCAAATCCTCACAAGTTCCCTCAGGTAAGTGCCATTATTTTTGTTTTTGTCTTAGTTTAGTTTAGTACCACGTATACTTGTTTGTATGTTGAGGTAATAGTAGAATTTTACCATGTTGGGTTAGATTCGACTTTGGTATATCTGTGATTGAATTTAGGGTATAAAAATTGGTATTTGGGAGTTCGGGTAAACTTGCACGTCAGGTGTTTGTATAAATTCCACAATGAGTTCGAGAATGGAATTTTGTGACCAAGTGTGCTGGTGAAGTTTGAGTAACCACTCTTGGTTCACACATCGTGCCTTCCGCTGATAGTGGTATTTATTTCAGGTAGTATGCCGACATCCAAGAAACGAAGAACCACAAGTGCATCCTCCAGTAGTCATACAAGCTCCTCCCGGGTCGCGATCCTCGGCCAATGCACCCCAGTATGATAGTGTCAAGTTCGTATCAAGCACGTTTTGGTCATAAGGCTCCCAAGAAACCCATACCGGAGAGGGGAATTGATATGGGGTCCCTCTAAAATGACCGTCTCAATATGTATCGTGAATTGGTTCGTCGCGGGCTGGGTATATTCTTTGAAGAACCTGATGAAGCCAATTTAATGATTGTGCGGGAGTTTTACGCGAACTGCCCGAAACATGTGAACCATGTCTGCACGGTACGACAGAAGAGTGTGGATGCATCCATCGAGGCCATTAGTAGGGCTTACAGGTTGCCAGTGTTTGGGATAAATCCTGAAGCGGAGGACTATTATGATACCTATAGCAGAGAACCAACCTCGTGGAATTTGTTCTTTAGAACAATATGTGTGCCCAACAAGGAAGTAGTATGGATTAAGCAAGGGCAGAAGTTTCATTCGGCATCGCTTACCTTTGAAGGGAAGTGTTGGCTCTATGTCATCAATAACCGCCTGCTGCCTTCTTCTAATACCACTGGGGTGAATGGTCCCCGGACTGCACTGATCTGGTATTTTATCAATGGCCATTATTTTGATGTGGCTAAGGTTATTCACGACAAAATGTTCATTTATTGTCCGGTGCAAAGGTATGGATTCTTCTTTCCTTCCTTAATCACTAGATTATGCCGTGCAGCACGTGTACCGGAAAATAAGAAATTGGATGGGAAAGTAAAAAAAGAACAGAAGTTCTGGGCTGATAAAGTGGTAATTGGGAAGGATCTTGTTGCACCCGTTGAGGCAAATAGTGATGAGTCTGATGAGAGTAATGAAGGGCAGGCTGAGGTTGTGGCTGCTTCGCCCCCGCACGAGCAGGTTGCTGAGGGAACATCAATTGTCAGATGGGACACGAGAATGACGATCTTAGAGCAGGAAATGGCAGGGTTGCATACTTCTGTCACGGACTTGGGAGCTAAAGTGGATGCCCTTGCTACCCAAAATGCAAAATATAAGAGGAGGGTCATGGCATGGCTGCGTGCACTTGGCAGGGCTTGCCATCTCGACCCCGGCACTGGCTCCGACCAAGACTGACTCTATCGGGGAAGTTTTTTTTATCTTGCATTTTTTTCTTTGGGTGACATGGGGACATGCCGCTATTTAAGGTGTGGGGTGGGGGATATCTTATATTTATGTTGTATATATATAGTAATGTAGATTAGTGTTAGTTTCTTTAGTTAGTTGAATAAAAAAAAGATAAAAGGGTTCACATTCCGGATTCTCAGCGGAGCAAGTTGGATGCCAAGGCAAGGAAATGCATCTTTGTCGGATATGATAAAAGAAAAAAGGGATGGAAGTGCATGGATCCTAAAACTCATCTCTTTGTTGTTTCAAGGGATGTCATATTCGATGAAGTCTCTTTATATTATGGAATTGCGCAAAAAGGGGCAGGTTATAAACCTTTGAATCCTAAAGCATCAAATATGCCCATCACAAGTATTCTTTTAGATAATACAGCTGTTGAGGAGCTAAGAGAAAGGGGGAACCCAAGAACTCAAAGACATTGAACTCAACAAGGAGATGATTCAAGTGTTTCAGGAAGGCGAAAAAGAACTATTATCAAGCCAGCTCGTTTTAGAGTTAAAAATTTCGTCAGCACATACTCATGTTTCTTTGTATAACTAATTGAAGAACCTTCCGTCATTAGGGAAGAAAGAGGAGCCGGAAAAATAGTGCTGAGATCTTCACCAAGACACAGCCTAAAGAATTGGTTGAGTTGTTCCGCGACAAGCGTGGGATAGCTTCCAAAAAATCACTTTAAGGGGCAGTGTGAGAAAAATAAAGTAAAGTTATTTTTTTTTTGGAAATACATAGATTTCTCTAGAATGTCCTAGTGTAGTATCCTTAATATTTATCTAGTAGACACATCTAGATGTTCTAAAGTATTGTGGGAAGATAATGTTATCTAGTAGACATATCTAGATATTCTAGAGTATTGTGGGAAGATACGGTTAACTAGATTTTTTTTGTACATGTTCTAGAATATTATCTAGAACCATCCTTAGAGAAGTATAAATAGGGGTGGCCATTGGCATTTGTAACTAAGCCAAAATCAAGAAAGCCTTCTTTCAATAACAAAGTTATCTTCTCCAAAACTTTTCTTCTCTTTTCAAAACTTTCTCTTCTTTAGTTGAATCTTCCTATTTTTAGTTAACGATCTTTGGCTAGCAGAAGATCTCCAAATAATACTTTTCTTATGCCATTCTTTACACTAATTGAGTACAAATACCTAGTTGTGTTGTTTAGTAAAAAGGTAGTTGATGCCTTCCGAAGCACTTTCTATTTCTAGTGACCGTTGTTTTTTTATTGCAACTAGCCCGCTTGAGTAATAAGATAGAAAGGGTCTCTCTCGCTTTTTTAGTAAATTCAAATTTTTGGCTTTATCTCGGAGGTGACGACGACGTCACTTTTAACTTTTATTTATTCTATATTAGTCTAAAAAAATCAAATAAATGTTAGTCGATTTCAGAATGTCATCTACTCCAATATGTACAACGTCAAACTTCTATATCCGGACTTTTTTTGCCTGCTATAGTGATTGATTGTAATACACTTACACCATAATGAATTCTCTCCTTGCCTTAATCCTTTCCTTGCATGAAATTTTGGAGTCAGTCCCCCATTAAGCAGTATAGAATAACTCATGGTTGCAGTCATAATTGGGTTCACCGTTCCAAAGGGAAGTCCAAATCCTAACAACACCATTCTCAAAAAGCTCCATTCAACTGAGTCATAAGCTTTTCTTATGTCTACCTTGATCAGATATCTAGGAGAGATCCCTTTTTGTGAGTATCCTTTGACCCGTTCATGGGCAACCATCATATTATATTGTCAATGATATAATGAGTGTGTGTAAACAAACTCTCACATGGAAAGTAGAAAAGAAAAAGAAACTACTTATGAAGATTAGATACTCTTAATGGTGTGAGGCCTTTTGGGGAAAACGGTGAAAAAAGTGACACTGTATAGCCGCTCTCAAAATAATAGCCGAAAAAATATAGTATAATTTTTGTATATTGTTTGTGTATATATACATTTTTGTGTTATATACAAAAATTATATAGATTTTATATACTTTTTGGGCTACCGAATGTAAATAATTTATGGCGCGGGTAAAAAGTGATAATACGCCGAAATCATGCGGGCTTGGCCCAAAGTGGATAATATCACACCATGTTAAGAGTATCTTTGAGCCATTTTAGTTCAACAACTAGTATCAAAACCAGACTCATCCTAATTTACTGTTACCGATATTGGGCCCCATTTATGTTGTCCACGCTTGCAAAGCCTAGGCATGAGGAATTAGTTGCTTCAATAAAAGCATGTTGGAAATTTTTTACCATTAATCCACCACAGTTTTCAAGCTGGCAGTGGGTATCTTTGCAATAATCTTATAAATTGTGGAAGGTGTAACTTGAAAAACCAATTAAATTTTGTTGAAGGTGTAAAATTTTCTTACATTAATGTTCATACATAACTTAAAGAGTGTAAGTTTTAACCATTAGCAGTGCTGATAAATTGCTACGCTATGATATTGCTTAAAAGGTTATGATGAAAATGTACACCATACCAAAATCGTTACGAATTAGAAACAAAGTGAACCTTACATTCACAGAAGTGATTTTGATCAAACCAGTGTAATATCACACGCACAATTTTCTCGCCTAGTGAGTAATAGCAAATATCATTAATATGTTGGGTTTTTAGTTCAAAAATTGGGGTGAACATGAAATTGAGGGAAACTTGAAATTTTGATTTTTCCTCCTTTACGAAGGAACATTGTCTCATATTGGAGGAGAAAAACTCATTTGTTGAGTGTATATATAATTCCACTTCTTCTAGTGTTGCATCTATTCGTTTGAACCCAACCTGATGGCTATAAATACAATATCGGTACACCAGTGTGTAATCCCTGTGAAGGGTTCGGATTTATTTGCTTCTTCTATATTTTTGTTTTGCTGTTATTTTTATTTCTAGAATTATTTTACAAATATAGATTATTAACATAATATTCGCCATACTCTGTTGTATCGAATTTCAAGTAATATAGAGAAAATAGAAGTAAGAAGAACATAAATGACGGACTTTGTGATTACGTTAGCAAGCAAATTTCTTTACCTTTAGGAAAGTTCTCGGTTACGTAAAAGCATGTGGTTCCGAATTGCTTGCACTATACTTAATCTTATTATATTCATTTTCCAATGAGAATCAATTATATTTACAGCAAACAATATTCCAAATTTGCTTGTAGTAGAGTTAAGAATATTATTCCAAATGACAAGACTTAGTATTTATGTCTGAAGCAAATACTAGTAGTAGTAATATTTCATTCCTAATTAACTAACAGTAGCAGAGTCAGTCTCCAACCATACTAAAATATTTTAACATGCAAATTAAAATAGGAAGAAAATGCATCACTGCAAGTGTTCGCCAATCTGCAGCTTACACAGCAGCAAATTGCGAAGATGAAAAATCTATAGAAATCCTACGCGATTTCTGTAGAGAAGAAATGGTGTCACCTATTGATAATCGCAGCGACACCATTCTTCATTTTATTGCCATTCACGGTAACGTGCGAGCATTTCGACTAATTATTGATGAAAGGCCAGTGAGCAGTGAAGATTTGAGAGTTAAAAACAAGAATGGAGATACACCTTTGCATGAAGCTGCTAGGTTTGGACGAAAGAAAATTGTGGAGATGATGTTAAGCTTGAAAAGAGATCTTGTTTTGGAGAGAAATAACTGGGGAGAGACACCCATTTATGTTGCAGCTGCGAGTGGAGAAAAAGAAGTGTTCATTTTGTTAGCAGAGAACAATCTTTGTAATGAATTTACTATGACGAGGAACGATGGAAGAACTGTTCTACATGCTGCTGTAACTCAAGAGTGTTATTGTAAGTTAACTTATTTTTGAGGTTACTAATTTCGTTGTAGGTTTACTTCTCACATTACCCCTCTTTCCCTTTCCTCAGCGGCGGAGCCATAATATGGCTCCATGGAGGTCAGATTAACACTCATTCGTCGTAAAATTACACTGTTTTTATAGGTGATTTTTTCAATGCATATATATTATGTGTTGATTCCCGTTGACTTATTCGTATGCTTAGTTCTTTAGATTTTGACACCCCTTTATTAAAAATTCTGGCTTCGCCTTCCCCTTGCCCCAATACCCTATATGTAATGGGAAAAAAACTTTTGGAAAAAAATTAATTCCATTAACTATGAATATAGATAGTACAGCCAGGGGCGGATGCAATGTTATGCAGACGGGTTCAATTGAGACGCGGAGTAAAAATTTATATGTAAAATTCATTAAAATTGCACAAAAAAAAAATAGATATGAACTCATAACTTTAAAAATATAATGGGTTCAATGCTAAAAACCTTAAAAGTTGAACCCATAGAGTTTAAATCTTCGATCCGCCTCTGAGTACAGCTCTAATTGCGCCTTTAATGTGACCTCAAATACCATACAAAGAATTAACGCTATAAGTCATGTATAAGTGTTGCTACATTCGTGTGTACGTTTAATTTTAAGAAAGGGACTAGTTTGCGTCCTAACATCTCAATTAGATATAAATTTAAATTATATACACGGATAATATAAAAGAAATTTTTATATAAATTAATGTGGATTTGCCTCCAAAAACAAGTTACCATGCTTTGAGGTTATCAGATCATGCTCGTTATAGAATAGTACATATAATGATAGGTTTTTAAATGACAAGACAACAATAATAACCCAGTATAATCACACTAGTGGGATCTGGTGTGTACGCAGACCTTACCTCCTCGGCTCCCTCCCTCCAAGAACTCCCCACATTGCTCTTGGGGTGACTCGAACTCACAACCTCTTGGTTGAAAGTGGAGGGTACTTACCACTAAGCAACCCACTCACTGGTACAAAAATTATTTACACAGTCAACGTATAGACGACGTTAAACACTTTTGATATAGGTTTACATCATCAGTTACAAGTTAAATATGATACTATTAAAATGAAATGCTCTAGATATATTTCGTGGTTTTGCATTGATATAGTTTTTGCCTAAATTCTAATAATCAAATTCGTAGAATATGACAGTGGGCTTTTGTTTTGTTTTGCACGAAATGAGAACCAGACTTCGCATTACAGTTGCTGGAAATATATCCTGAATTAGCCAGCAAAGCTGACGGAAAGGGTACGACTGCATTAAATATATTGGCTACAAAGCACTTATCTTTTAGGAGTGGATCCATCTATACAATCGGACAATTCGGCACTACGCCTTTCGTTCCTATGCAGGGATTTGAAACCTTTATGTATTTCTGTAAGTACTTTCATTTCCCAAATTATTAATTCTTTATCAAATGCTTAATTTGAAAAGAGAACAATCTCCTTACTAAATACTCATAGAATTAAGGCTTAATTAAATAGTAATAGTTATTTTTTTTTTCACCCGATGTCCTGTATTCGCATGGGGTCTCGACTGATTCGAATTCGAGCCACCTAAGACTTAGAAAAACGCTCCTTATAAGGATTTTTTACACTCGCAGGGCTCGAAGCGGAAACCTCTGTTGAAGATTCCTATATGGAGTATATATATCTGTTCCACCATCACTTTGGTGGTGCTTATATAGTAGTTTTACCTTTGAGTAAGCCAAAAATATGACTTGTTTCTCGTTTAATCTAATGTAATAATGAAACAGGCATACCAGCAATATATGGAGAGTCAAAACTTAGTTACAACTTGGAGGATCCAGAGACTACTAAAAACGTTGTCTTTCAAAGAAAAAGGTCTTCATTTGTTAACTCTCTGCTAGGTAAGGTATCTTCAAATTAAGCCTATACACAGATGTTAACTATGTATGTATAATGTTCATTATCGCCTGTTTGGTTGGTTGAATAAGGAGATCAATCTTTGTATAAAATTCAACACAATATATATCCGTATAAATAAGTTTTGCGAAACTCAATATATTGTTTCATTCATGACATAATATGAAATAATAAGAATACACGTATTCGTAATACATGAATTACACAACAAATATAATATAAATGTCTTCATATAAAGGGTTCCGTAATAAACAGACTTTTATATGTTTGGTTAAAGAATAAACACACATTTTAATTTTGCCAAACATCTAAGAAATAACTCTTGCATTACAGTTTTTGTATTACTAATACATGCATTACCATCCACAATTTAAACCTATGTCCTCTTCTGATTATCATTTTTTTCTTGGGTGCGTGTTCTTGTTCTAGGTAATGCATGGTGAGGAGAAATTGATTATGAAAAGCAAAAGCATATTCTTGCATTAATATTAGCAAGAAGATTGATAAGGGAAGAAGATTGGAGCTTCTATGCCAATTTTGTGCCAAATCCACTAATACAGGCAACAAAACATGGTATAAACGAGTTAGTCGTGGAAATTATACAAAATTATCCTCAAGCAGTAGAAACTGTCGATGAAGATGGAAAAAATATATTGCATATTGCAGCAGAGCAGAAAAACAGGTTCCTATTTGATTACATTTTGCAAAAGGTATCTCACAAAGATAGGCTACTTGCTGATATCGATCAACACGGAAACACCATAATGCATTTTGCAGCAAGTGTTGGATCGCCATTCAAATTTTCTGCAGGGAAACCGATTAAAACAATAAGGGGTTACAAAACACTCGTACTCATGGCATGGGGTATCCTCTGGTTTAAGGTGCTTTCTTATTTGCTTTTTTAACAATATAACATATATAACACGCAGAAAACACCAGAAAAATGTGTTTGTTACACTTCAACAATCGTATTGTCATTGGTTACATGTATATATTGACAAGTAAATGGCTGAGAATATAAGAGTATAAATGAGTTTCTAAAAAATAATGCAATATGGTTAAATATATCATGATCTTCATCTGATGAATGGAATGAATCCCACATCGGACCGGGATGAGATCCCTGGTCTCCTTATAAGGTTTGGGCAATCCTCCTTCCTTCGAGCTAGCTTTTGGGGTGTGAGTTAGGCCCATCATCCCTATCTATTCCAATAGCATATCACCTTAATGTTTCCATATAAAAATAGTTGCATGACTGTTTTAGTTTCTCCCAAAATTACATCTTTGTCACTTACCATGAATACATTTAATTTTTTGAAGCGCGTAAAATATTGTGTACATCCACGTTTATGGACGGTGGAAAACAATGAAGACACGACTGCAACAGAGTTATTCGAGATAAAACATTCAGAAGTATGTAAAGAAGCAGAGAAATCAATCAGAGAATTAGCAGGTTCAATTCTTATACTAGCTACTCTTCTCTGCACAGTCAACTTTGCTGCAGTTTTTACAGTCCCTGGAGGTTTTGATCAAAATAGTGGCATACCTATTCTCCTCAAGACACAACATTCAGATCTATGGATGTTGATGGTTTTCTTAGGTGTAGCTCTTTATGTTTCAGTATTCACTGTGGGAACATTGCTTTCCATACTTCTATCGAAGTTTGATTCAGACGACTTTTATATTGCCTTGCCAGTGAAGTACTGCACTGTCATTATTTCTGTGTATTACTCCGCAGCATTCACAGTTCTGGCCGGCGTTCAAGCTCTTAATGTTGAGAATATATTCATGGACAAAGATGTCTGGTGGCTACTTTTTTGTATGTTTGTTCTTGGATTTGTAGGACCTTTAATACTCCTAGACTTAAGTTATTTCGCCTTTGATTATATGTACCATTTCATTCGTTATTCAGTTTCTTATAAGAGGTTCATACATGTATTCTGAATTACTATATTTTACTATGTTTTATTATGATAAGATACTTCAGTTGGACTATGTAATGTGTTATGAGATATTTAAGGTTTTTTCTGTAAAAGGGACTTAGGAAGTAATTTGCATAATCTTTTGCATTTATTGCTTTTTATTTATTTATTTATTTATTTTAGTAAAGTGAACCCATAACAGGTTTTCTTTTGCTTCTAGTTGCATAGCTATGTTTCAATAGGAGGATGGTGATGCAAGAAAATTAAAAAGAAATTGTCATTCTATCTTAAAAGCTCAATCATATAAAGTATAAACTAATAACTATGACATTGTGTTGTTAATTTTTAGATAAATGATTATTAGAAAAATGGTTAAAGATTAATCAACTTAATCAAAATAGTTATCTTGTTTGCGACAAATATAGAAATGTTACCAAACTATTAACCTTAAGTTATCACTAGCACCAGAAATGTTTTTCCTGGTTTTATGCTCCAACTAATCCCGATCAACTACGAATCCAACCGAAGCACTCCCAATATATTCAAGTCAACTCATGCTAACTTTCACATTCAAAACTTATTCAAAATCCAAAATTTCATATACAGGCATACGTAAAGCATCAATTCCACAACCAAGTAACACAAAACAAGCATATAAAACATACAGAGTAGAAACTCAATCCTGAATTTTAAAGGTGAGATACCTGCAGAGTAGAAAACATATAGCTATTGTGCTTGTATGACCTCCTCAACCTCCCAAATAGCTTGTCTTTTTTCTTTACCATGGTGTCCGGGCCAATTTGCGTGCATCTCGACTAATTCCAGGAGATATCTGTCACTAGGAGTGTACATGGACCGGGTTGGTTCGGTTTTTATCAAAACCGAACCAAACCAACTATATCGGTTTGGATTGGTTCGGTTTTGTCGGATTTTTCGGGTCTTTTTTTTTTTTGTTACATGAATATTATTTCAATCTTACTTTGTTAAAGTTATAGATAAAGTTTTGATAAGTGAATATATGTTTAGTAAATATTGAAAAAATTGACAAACATATGATCTATTATTCTAATGGGAGAATGTTTTTAGTAACACATGATAGTTATTTTCTTAGTCGTCTAACAATAATTTTCGTTAATGTACGCTTTCAAGGTTAACACATGAGAGGGTCCCAAATATTTCAATATTTTTTAAGAAAAATTCAATATAAAGTCTTAAAAATATATATAAAAATTATATATTTATATGTCGGTTTGGTTCGCATTTTTTCACTCAATACCAAACCAAGTCAAACCAAATCTAGTCGGGTTTTTTAATCGATTTTGTTTGATTTTTCGATTTGGTGCGATTTTCCGGTTCGGTTTGAACACCCCTACCTGCCACCTCCCAAATAGCTTCTTTATCTCGAGTGGTTCCTCTTATGGGTGTTTAACGGGCGGGCTGGGACGAGCTGGACACAAAAAAAAAATAGCCCGTCCATTTAACGTTGCGGGTTGTTAGCGGGCTGAGTTAGTGGGTTGTTAGCGGGCTGTACTTTTTCGGATTTTTTTTGTCCGTCCGGGTTCGGGCTTAGCGGGCTGGACCGGGCTGTGCATTTTTTTTTTAAAGTAAATTTTATTTTTCTTATTCAATATTATTGATACTTAAGTGTTTGCAAACTTTTAAAGCTTAGAATTAAACTTTGAAGTTTAAAGTTTTAAATTTGAAATTTGAAAGTAAGTGGCTACAAAAAATTATTTAATAAGACCAATAGGCAATATGTAAGGATCAAGCTCTGAAAACTTTCATTTGATATTTTTATTGAATAATATATAATACTTCAAATTAAGTTGCAAGTTCTTTTTTGATTTTGTTATTTTTGAACTTGCAAATTAAAAGTTTACAATAATTATTTTTTAAAAAAAAAAAAGAAATAGTACATCACATGCTTTGCATCATTTTTGTAAGTTCATCCATGTCAACATGAGGTTCTTGATTTCCGGCATTGGTTGAATCAGAACCATAAACCATTATATCTCCAATTTCTTGGTCCTCCGCTTCATCTACCTCGTCACGCCCTTGATTTCGCCGTTCTGATCTTATCCAATCTCTGAAACACACTAGAATTTCCAAAGCGTTGCTGCCCAATGAATGACGGGTATCTTCTAGTTGCTGCCTTGCTTGGCTAAATGCGCTCTCTGATGTGACTGTTGAAATCGGCACATTTAGCACGTCTCGACCCATGGCCGAAAGAACATGAAATTGATTTGAGTTGCTCCTCCACCAACCCAGTGTCAGAAATTTCTTTGTGCGGGGCTCTGCTGACTTTTGCAAGTAGAATTGAAGTTCATCAATATTTCTGCTACTGGTTTGTTGATGCTCCCCTAGTGTTGACCAAATCAAATAATCTTCAATACCATCATTATCATCCAAAGCACTGGTCCCAGATGTTGAAACTGAACTTGAAGGAATATTTGTATCTACAGCAGAAGAAGCATCAACAATGTTAGCATAATAATTATATAATGATTCTAAATGTTTGTGTAGATCAGAAATACAAGTGTCAATATCAGGAGTTTCAGTTTGTCCAATGTCCATATAAGAATATAAAGCAGTGATTAATTGGCGACAAGTGGCCATTTTGATAGAAGGGTTTAAAATAGCACCAATTAGGTAAATAGGGGGAATTAGGTAGAAATATTTTTTAAACTTATCTAGCATAGATTCAACAACAGAAGTATATCCTTCTTTCTTCTTCAAATTATGTAGTAAAAGAGAAATTTCAACAATATGAACTAAACCATTTGCAATAGTAGGATAATAAACTCCAGAAAACTCAAGTGTAGCCACATGAAATTTTTGTAAAAACTTTACAACATCTTCAATGACATCCCAAGTTCTAGATGTTAACAAACGGCTAGGATCGGTACAATGAGAATTAGTAATTTCAGTTAGAGGCATTCTATATTTATAACAACATTTTAAGAATAAATAAGTATAATTTCACCTAGTAACTATTTCTTCAGGTATGAGTCTTGGTTTTAGTCCATAGTGTACACATTTTTCTTTAAATGCATTTAATCTAGCACTTCTATTATTTCCTTGAATTACACCAACAGCTCTTTTAACTAAAGTGATATCATCTCTAAATAATTCAATGCCACTCTTCACAATCAAATTATAAATATGACATGCATATCTAACATGAAATATTTCAGGAAATGGTGGGTGTAGATGCAATTTTAACATTGTAATAGCAGCATTGTTATTAGAAGCATTATCAAATGACACACACAAAACTTTTTCTGCAAGATTATAAAATATAGCAACTTCATGGATAGTATTACTTATAAATGCACCAGTATGACTTTGATCTTCATCATATTTAAAAGCAATAATACGTTTTTGCATACAAAAATTATCATCTATCCAATGGCATGTAACAGTCAAATAATCATTACCATTTACAGCACGACCAATATCAGAAATAAGAGAAATTCTACAAGAAAGACTAGCGAACAAATAACGTATATATGTCTGATATTGTCTAAAAAGCCTAAAGATATCAGCTCTACAAGTACTTCTAGGAATACCTTTAAACAAAGGGTTATAAATTCTTTGAATATAAGTAACAAGATATGGTAAAACAGCAAAACTAAAAGGTAAAACAACCTAAAACAATCATTTTAGTTAATTCTTCCCGATCTTTCCTAATATCGTATTTACCCATTAACGCTCCAGTACCCAAGTTAAGTTTTTGTGGCCCATCTCCCTCATCTACTCCCCAATCAAGAGGGTGGTTGTCTACCATGTGCCTACGAAGTTAACCCGTTCCCCCTCCCTTATCGGTCTCATGTTTATAAATATCCTTATAAATTCTACATCTTACATAATTTTTATCTTCTTCTAGTCTGTCAAAAAAATTCCAACACTTACTTCTTAATCTTCGATTCTTCTTAATAGGGAGGGGANTTGACCCGTTCCCCCTCCCTTACCGGTCTCATGTTTATAAATATCCTTATAAATTCTACATCTTACATAATTTTTATCTTCTTCTAGTCTGTCAAAAAAATTCCAACACTTACTTCTTAATCTTCGATTCTTCTTAATAGGGAGGGGAGGCCTACTTGTATTACCACGACTTCCACCCCTAATATTTTGAGTTTGACTAGCATTACCAGGTGTAGCTGGTGGTGTTTCAAGATTATCAGTTGATGGAATATCATCTAAATTATCATCTAAATCATCATCTATACCATAATTTTCTTGAAGTCGCTCATAATCTACATTTAAATTTTCAGATGAACTTTTAGAAATATGTGTAAAGCTACTAGAAGAACAAGCACCACCTCTTGATCTTTTGGAAGTTTTTTTACTATCACCTCTACTAGTGCACGCTTTTTTAGCTACTCTAAATATATCCATTATGTAAATTAAATTAATAATTTTAAATAATAAAATAAATATACACCAAAGAAGAGAAAGATATAGAACGAGTGTACCGGGATTCCGGATGCCGCACTAAATTTGATATCAAAAATCAAACTTCAATTGATAGATCGATACTTGATAGTTGATACCACACTTCACTTGGATACTTGATATTTGATAATAATAATTTTGTAATGGCTAAACTAAATATTTGATGAAACTTGAAATAATAAGTAATTGAGAATTTAAGAACAATAATCAATAATATCAAGAGAGAATTGAGAGAGAATTAGAGTAGTAAGAGAGTGAATTGTGAGAAAAAATGAAAAAGAAGGGGGGCTATTTATAGTTTTTAAAAGGTTAAAATTGTAATTTATCAAATACTAGGGGTGTGGAGGCTATTTTCTTAAGGGGTAGGCCGAAATGGTCATTTCTGCAAAAAAGGGTCGTTGGCCAACGATCATATTTTAGTAGCAAAAAAGGACCGTTGGTCAGTTCAGGGAAAGGGCCGGACGACAAGGGTTTAAGGACCAGATAATAATTTAGTAACAACAGGAAAGTTTGTCATAATTTCTTTACAAAAATGTCCAATCCTTGCTGGTTGATCATTAAATTAGGTACCTTACTAATATATTGATTGTTTGG